AAGGTTTACAAAAATGGGTTTCATTTTTGCTATGCGTTTCTGGGGAGGTCAAAACTGAGTGAAAACAATTTGACAAGAAAGGGCGATTTTAACCGTCTTATTGGGCTCTGTTGTAGCTGTAACTTTGAGAGTGCTTATGAGGTGTTCCTTCACTATGTATCGAAAAGAGAGCAAAATAAAGTCAAAAAGAAAGTGCATGGAGAAAAGTAGTACCGAAGTTACTTCAACGACTCCCGCAACCAGTGTTCCGTGGTCGGCGGATGGCGGAGTGGATAGTGCGGTCGGCTCTTACGGAGAAGGTTTGCGGATCGGATCCTCTTGGCGCCGGATTTTTTGCATTTTTCGGATACTTTATGCGTTCGGATTTCTGTCTCCTTGTGTTCCTGCGTGCGTGGTGATGTATATAACATGGATATATGCCATTTAAGAGCTCATTCTGTACACTCAAACTTCACGAGTCGACCCTACTTAACTATTGCGCTCTCGAAACATTACTGAGGAAACTCTTGCTGAAAGTTGGGCTCCGGGGATGACTGGATACCCTACTCACGAGTACGACACTCATTTTTGACCACGGCGCAGCCTATCGCCGATTTGCTGCAAGAGCATTCTTGCACTGAATTGTTGTCAACCCGCACGCATGGGCTGTTAAGCGCTCAGCTCGAGGAGAAAATTTTCGCTGAAAGTCTGTATATAGAGGTTATTAACGGCCCTGATCACGGTTCTGACCTTTATAATTGGCGCCTAGGTCATTTGGCGCCAACATGGCTCTGAATACCCCTCCCCCCTAACTGCGGGTTGGGATGCTGCGAGAATCACTTGAGAAACTACAATGCTGCCTCACTGTGTGCCAAATAAGTACTTTTTTCACCTTGACTTGTATTGTTTTCGATGCAGTGTCGACGAAGGTCTCATTTGCTGTGCATACTCAACATTAGAGATAGAAAAAAGCCTAGAAAAATGGTTCAAAATCGCTTTTCCCCAGCAAACTTTTCACCCATTTTTTGACCTCCCAGAAATGCATAGCAAAAACGAAACCCATTTTTGTGATCCTTATATGGACCCCTACAACATGCAACAAACCATTTCTGAAAAGCGCGCCACGACCTGAAAGACCTCCCTTGTTAGCGTTTAGACTTGGCGATGACGCGCGTACAATTGCGCGTACAATTGCAGTAGCGCTCTAGTGGCATAGACAGTAGACACGAAAGCAGCTACAGACGGGAATCGATCGCCACCAGCCGTATGTGTATTGCGAGACTGACCGTGAAACTGCATGGTTAGACAACGGTTACCCTCCCGTTCTCCATACTCTCTCAAAACATAAGCGACCGGAACCAATCTATTTCTGTCTATGGCTGCGTTTGCGTCTTTGGAGCGGTGTTGCAAGCCGCGTCGACGCGCTTTACAGCGCGTCATCGCTAAGTCTGAACGCTGTCTTACAAACTATCTACGATCTGGATCTTTCAGTTGACGCTCTCGCTGCATTTTTGGCTCCGTCACACTAGTTTCTGTTGAATATGAGTCGTGTTAAACAAACGATTCTTACATGTGTTATAGTTTTATCAATCGCAATATTTACATCTCGCAATGTAAAGTGAAGGCACTTCAGAAATCGGCCAAGCGAAACCGGTATAAAACAAAATGAGTGAGATGTTCTTTACATGTTTATGAAAAGTTCCAGAATATATCGATGGTAGTCTAGAGGACAGGTGACGAATTGAATCAGCCGAATCCTAGACCGAATCCACTCGAAACACCGATATTGCCAATCGGAGTACCGACGCTAGTCCCGCTGCCATATCCGAAACTGAAAAGGCTGCCCAAGCCACCACCGCCAAATCCGCCCCCACCATATCCACCTCCGCCATAGCGCGGATATGATCGAGAAGCTGGGGATCTGAAATGTCTCCACAGAGTGACATGAAAAAATTGAAGTATAAGTGTCAAATTATGGGAAAGGGGTATAGATTGCGCTGTAGATAAGTTTACAGAGATATCAAGACTGTAACGCCTCTAGACCGCAGGGGAGGGCGTGTTAGCGTAGCGTCAGCTCGCCTTTCTTAGGCAAGCGACGAGACTTTATCACACTCTTCGTATCGACCGTTTTCCACCACTTGTATTCGTTCACACGCTTCTATTACAACTGGTAGGGAACGAACTGGCAGCGCGCCAAACCAAGCCTCACTGACACCCCCAT